TGTAGAACAGGCTGACCTTGAAAGCACAGATATCCTCCTGCTTATCCTCTCTCAAGGGCAGGAATTAAATGTGTGCACCACCACCCAGCTTACTTTTCCAATTATGTACAAAGTTAAAACATTTAGATTAGTGTTTTAAGATGATTTCAACAATAGTAAATACTATAGCTAAGAGAAGGAAATGTTTCAATTGTTATGCTGACTTATAAAAGCATCAAATCCAGCTTCTGTAAGTATCAAATCTGTTCCAGTAAAAAAATTAAAGGAAATAAGCTATAAAGATGTATTTGCATTAAACAACATAATTTATAGCTAATAATATGTGTGGTATTCCTTATGTCTTCAATTAACTTAAACATTTTAGAATGTATAAAATGTAGAGTTTATAGCATGGGCTCCGTAGAACTTGAATCAGAAGATGTTAAATATATAGTACATACAGCAATTGTTTTATATTGACTAATTTTCAAAGAGACAGGGGCAGTTTAGTAGGTGTTAGGACATTTTAGCTGAAATACATGTTTTAATTCTGCTATCTATCTCTATGTTTAAAATAGTTATTAAATGATTTTACTTTGCATGTTCTCCTTAATTCTTACTCTTCCTGGTAAAGAAAATAAATAACCAATCATTTCATTTCTATTTAAAAAATAGAATGAAAAGGTGTTCTCCAAATTTTGACCATCCAATCAAAACAGTTTAAGAGAAATAAGTTTCCAGAACTATTAGGTCTGATCTATAGTACAAGTTCTATGACAGCCAAGGGATACATAGAAACTCTGTCTTGAAAATATGAAATGGAAATGAAAGAACAAAATGTCAGAAAAATATTTCTTATCCATAGCAGTTTGAAATGAACATAAGGGAAATTGAAGACCGAGATCAAAATATGTATCTAGAAATCTTTATATCTGTTCAAAACTAACAAATCAGCATTGGTTAACTAAACTTTCAAGCAGGAACATAAAATGTACAATATGCTAAAAAGAAAAAGTGGGACAGAGGGACATGGAAATGAAGCAGGGAGGGCTGGAGTTTTCTTGACCAATAGAAATACATAGGGACAAGAAAACCATCATAGACACGTTTGAGAAGCTCTATCAAAAGTATCCTTTTCTGGATTCAGCCATGCAGTTCAATTTCCTGGGTCTGCCTAAGCCGTATATTGTGCCAAGCATGATTCCTATGCCAAGACTTGCCCCTTCTGAGGTGACCATTTCTCTCTTCACAGTCTAGACTCCTTGCTGGGTAAAAATAAAAGAAAAGAAAAAGGAAAAATATCCCAGAAAATACACGAAAAGACTTCTTCCATGTGTATAAGTAAATTCCCTTGGGGTTATATCTTCATTTGTCTTTGTTTTTCCCAATTAAAAAAAGGTTGATTCACTGATAGAGAGGTTAGACCCTTGAAACTCCCATAGTCCCAACACAGACCCATTAACAACATTTCACACAGGACCCTGGGAATGACCATACTAGTGATATCATCACCATCACCTTCTCACGACACTAGGCATGGGGTAAGCAGGAATGAAGGAAACGGGAGACACATGCTCCCAACTCAGTCAAGTTTCAAACCTGGTTCCATTGTTTCCTTCTATGTCATTTTGGGCAATGTGTGCTGTTTTCTCTGTATAAATTGGAGTCACAAACATACTGGCTTTTCAGTTAATACATATAAAATATTGGATACTAAAATATATCTCCTGGGTAACTATCAAGAACTTGTAGGCACTGCACTAAATGCCAGGGATATATTTAGAAAAGTAGCTAACACATAGCATGTGTCCAATAAATGTTACTTCAAGAAGTCAGAAACCCTTATCTGGCAAGAGACATTCAGACTACTATAAATCTTATAAAAAAGGGTGATTACTTAATATACACACATATATATGTAACTTCTGAGGAGGTCTGATACAACATTTCAGAGTCAAGTATGCGAACATTTCTGTGATAAAACATATACACTTAGTGAGTTAAAAAATAAAGAAAGAAAGAAAGGAAGGAAGGAAGGGAGGAAGGAAGGAAGGAAGAAAGAAAGAAAGACTATAAGTGGCCTCTTGTAAACTGAGGTCAGCACTAGACAGTTTATGACAAACTTTTTTTTCTCCATTTGTTAGAACATTTGGATATTTATTAAGTAAGTGACAAACCTTACTGAAATTTTTTCCTAAGTAATTCTTGCCAAAACCATTGAGTAAGAGAAAATGGGAATAGAAAATGCCTTCAGGCATGGAAAAAGCACAAGTACATAATTAATCTATGGTACATATTAGTCTCTAACTCTGATAGAGTGTTGCTGAGATCCTAAGCCTGCCAATTCACTCAAAAACTGTTTTTAAAAATGTTAAATATATTTTTGAATATAAGACAAATTGCTTAGGTTTATGAGTAATTAATTTAGTAACACAATTCTGTCTATTCCATAGGAAAAAAACAAAAAGCTCATTAGTAAATGACATGAACAATTGTTTTAAAAGTCTTTCAAGAGCACAGAGGCCTCCACATCAGGCTAGGAAAGAATAGATGCTATGCCAAAGTGGTAAGCCACCCTGTTGCCACCAGAAGAATTCTCTCTACTTTACATCTGAAGAAAATATTTGCAGCTCTTGTAGAACCTCCAATAAGTGATTCAAAATGTTCTCACTACTGGTCAGCACTGGGCAAAGTTGGACAAAAATCTCTTGGAAGCTGACTACTTATTACTCATTATGTTGATATGTCTATCCCCCAACTTTTCTCATATATATTTGTATTAAAGTTTTGCTTTCTTCAAGATCTATGCTACAACCACTTCCATGGTTATCCCATATGCAAAGGCCAAATCAAGAAGACATGAAAGGAATACAGTATTTCCTACACATGGTGTTTCCTCTCCCCCCCCCTTCCTGTTAATACTCCTACTCAATAAGACTGTAACAGAAGATTTGAATGACATTTATGAACTGAGATCTTAAAGGCACATGTCAACACCCAACAACTCAGTAGTCATAGGAACAACATTGCAAGGCTTATCTAAGTTCTAACAACAGCCAGTCACTTCATTGGTGATTAAAGCCCCCTTCAAATTAAGCTTAGGCATGCTCACACACAGAGAGACACAGAGAGATAGAGACAGATAGGCAGGGAGAGAAAATTACCTCAATAAAATTTAATCAGACAAAGGTGTATATGTCTCTAATACTGCTGGGGAGAAATGACTGAGGTATGTCTCTAAAATGGCTTCCTTTCACTTAGTTGTTTTTGCAAACCCACAAATGTCACTAATATATTTTGTATTTAGTAACTCCAGGACATAATTCAGAGTGAAGATTTTGGATAATTCTTCTGGGACATAGTTTGTAACATTTACCATTCCACCTTACATTCTGTTCCATTTTTATCACCCAAGATAATGGACAAATGTCTGAAGAACAGCTAAAGGTTTTATATGGTCTTTTTTTTTTCTATGCAGGATGCATTCATTAAATCACCATGTTTTATGCGAGCCCTTACATTACTCACTGAATAGCCAATAGCAATAGAATGTAAATTCTCTAGAAATACTTTACATTTTGTCATCATTTTTCTGTCTTTCTCTCATACCTATAGATTCATGTGTCAGAAGAGCATACCTCTGGTATTCACACAAATTTGCAATGCCAACATACTGATTTACAGCTGGATTTGCACTTCACAGCCATGCTTGTCTTTCAATTTAAACAGAAGTCTTTTGGGAGCTATTTATTAGCCTAAGAATAACCTTCAAAGTATGTATACACATTACTACACTCACTTTCCCTTGCCTATCTGCACCCCACTTTAGGAACAGAGAGGCCATAGCTTTTTTATGCTGTTTATAGCTTTGTTTTCTTAAGTTGAGGATTTTATGATTTCAAAAGCAGCAGAAAGGGAGCCACAAGTAAGGAATATTCATCCAACTTTTAATTTGCTCGGAAATACTTAAAGTAAAATAAACAATTACACTCTTTATAATTCAAACTACAATTTTGTTCATAGGCCGTAGTTTCATGTTTACATTCATAAATGAAGATCACCAAAAATACCTAGTTACTGACACTTAAAATATTTCCCTCTAATTCTATGTAAGTATATACCCCATGATTACTTCAACTGACCAATAAGACACTTGCAAAAATCAAGCAGGCACGCTATCTAGTCTTTGTTTATTGTGCTCTATTTTTCTCTACAATCTTTATTCAGCAAAGTCAAGTAATCCAATATGCACACTTGCTATAAAACTGTGCTATCTCACTGTCTTTAGGAATACAGGTATTCAAAGCTTTATTGTCTTTTTCTGAAATACTTAAGTGTAGCAGCTCATCAGGTTCAAAATCACAATACTGAATTTCAGGTTTCAGAGAAAGGAAGCCAGACAAAAAGAAAGGGGTCCCACCATTAAGTGTGGCTCATGATCATCTTGAAAATGTTATGGACTATATGGAAATAGGCACCCTTTGCTTTATTATTGTAATCAAACAGAACAATCTCAAAATTGTGACATGAATGCAAAACAAAATCTGTGAGCATCATAATCCGATGCTTTGGGCGCATTGCTTCAACTTTCATTTTGTGAAGATCTAGATAAAGAACACAACAGGGAGGCAAAGGAGCCGACTAATTCTGAAAGTCAAATTTCAACTTGCTAGTCAAACTGAATGCAAATCTCTATCCATGGAAAGTTAATGTAGCAACTCAATCAAACAGCCCATTTTGATTTTATGCTTTCCCCCAAATGAAAAGGAAACCATGTCCAAAAAGTAAGACCTAGATATATTACATATGTTTGGCTGAACTAATAAAACTTGGCTCAATTTATTAATTACCTGGTTTCTTCTCAGCCTTTATGCAATACTGTGGGGCTGCGTGTTTTTAAAATTCCTACCTTTGCTATTATGTTTTCTGTTCTTCACACTTGTTAGGGATCTGTGAACAGTTTTGCAATTCTCCCACATACCATATGATATCTATTAGGGACAATGCCACTTTTCACTTACCGACTCTGGAAAATGCAGTGTTTCCTGGTGACAGAACACTGCAGCTTCCGTTCACTGAAACTCCTTCTTCTCAGCTTGGTAAATCTGATTATAAAACAGCTTTGTTCTGATCACACGAGGCACTTTTCCTATGAAAGTTTTCCTACGACTTATCTGCATTTCATTCCTGTGACAAAATGAATCAGACAAAGGGGAAACAGGGGACAGGGAATAAGTCCACACAAGTTCTTGGCACACATTTTCAGCTACATTTTTCTCAGTTTAATCAGTAAGCTACATTAAAGTGACAGTTACCAGTTCAGGAAGCCAGAGTTTGATCAAATCAGCCACACGTAATTTGAGTGTCTTCCACTGGTGTGCAGACCCCAGAGCAGCAATTACTTGGTCATCTATCACAAGGACTTACTGGACAGACCCCACCCCCACTGTGGCCTGTTGAGCAGCAGTCAGCAGCAGAGTAGAGAGTGGATAGTCACCTGACCCAGGACTTCTTATAGGGATCTGCCAATTAGCAGCTGACCAATCGAAACTAACACCTAGTACCTAAGTCACATGACAGGGCAGTCCTTGTGACTGTAGGATTTCTGAATTACTGAGGTTATACAAAGGACACTCATTCAGGAAGGGGGGGTGTGCATAAGCCAAAACAGAAAACGCCCTGGCTACTGAGACAACTCAGGCTTTAAAACAAGTAACACCTTAGCCTCACACAGACAGAAGTGGAGACCCAGACAGGATGGCATATATTAAAAAATAATTCCAAAGCAGAGGCTGAGTTTAAAAACTTGCTTCAGCTGTAAATATACTGCTCATCCCCCTGACAATTGTACATTTAAAACTTCCTTCTGCCCAGCTCTACCGAGCCTTGTAGAGTCACTGTAGAGAAATGGGAGAGGTGCAAAACCCTCTTTTCCTTCCCTCAAAGGGCCCAAGAAGATTCCTAAGTTAAACATGTTTTCTTTTCAAACACTTGTAAAGCTTAAGCAATTTAAGCATCATAAGGACAAATCTTCATGCTAACTACAAATAATAGCTCCCTTCCGTGTTCATTTTGGACTGTCCATATCAAGCTCACTCTTGTAAAGTATACAAGCCCACTTCATGAAGTAGCTACCAATTCATTTTTAACACCCCCAATTTCTCTTAAATACCAAGTATGTCTCAGGAAGAAATTCAACCACGACGCTCCTACCATTTCTTCATTCTCTGAAAAACGGTACTTACAAGTGTTCCTTGTTTGGATCTGTCCACTTCTTCTCCCTCTCCCCTGACATCTGAAGTCAAAACATAGGCTCAGCTTCATCTTTCCAAACCAGATGCCCTATTTTGCTCAAGCAAAGCTGCAATAGCTATTTCTCTGAGGCAAGCCCAGAGCACTGTGCTGCTTGCCATTCCCAATTTATGGAAGGAAGCGTATGTCAAACAAACCAGGTGATGACTCACACTGCCTCCCCCGGCCACATTTTCCCTAGAATGGGAGGGTAGTGTAAGTGCAGCCATTTGGATATGAGTCAGTTTTATTAGACTGGTGGTTGTAGCTGATCTAACAAGTTCAGTTTTTTTTTTCTTTTGTAACTCGTGCATTTAAGAATCAGAATGCATGTTCTATTAGGTTTCAAAGCATTCAATCATGTAAATAAGAAAGCAATAAGATTATTTTTTAAGCCTCAGCTAAATTTTGGTCCCATTGACTAATATGTAATATTTCAGAACCATGCGTTGGAAATTTTACAACTAAGGCCACTGAACAATCAAGTTCACACAACATTGGGGAAATAAATGTGCAGTCTGTCTCACATCTTTATCAGCAGAGGAACCCAGTTTAAATCTCGTGTTGGGGCCCATGTGGCAGGTTCTCCAGGAAGTGGTCAGGGACACGAGAGTCATGCAAGAGGCTTTCACTTTTGTATGCACTGCAATTTTGCACTCTAACTAGAGTCATTCACATAGAAACACAAATGTGACAATGACCCAGCTGCCCACTCCAATATCTGAATATTCTTTTAAGGTTAACTTATTTAAAAGCTAAAGACAGAAACTTCAAAATCACCAAAAAGTCTATGGGAAAAATCCCAAATAAACTGCTTAAAAGTCTCCTTTGCAGTGAAAGGTTCAGTAAGTAGCATGACGGGAGTGGCATTACATGAAGTCAATTGTTCCTAGGTATTACGCAGACAGGAAGAAATGGAATAATGAATGCAATTCCCTGAACACAAAAAACCTGGGAGGCTCAGGCAAGCACTTCAAGTGCAGTTATCTCTTTTCAGCATACTTCCTTTAACCTTGAGCAAAGTCAGCAACTGCTCTGACTGAGCCTTAGCATTTGCTGTTGATTAAACCTTGATGGATAACTAGTCATGTTTTACCTTCTATTTTTTACAACACAAGGAAATATTCAAATAGCAATCCTCCAACTCATAGAAGAAGACACAGAAGAGATACACTCACTTAAATAATATTAAAAAGCTAATTCAGGAGATGATCATCCACTTAGTTAAAAATTAGCCTGCAGGTTTTACCGGAATAAACACCACTCTAAATTTTCATAGAGAATCAGTTTTTAGAAATTAAATTTATACAAACTACTTGTAAGACATTTGCAAATTATACTTTTCAAGTCTGTTTTAACTACAATCACATGTCTCTACTAATTATTAAAATCTGTTCATATCTCAATAGGGATATATTAATATTGCCACTGAGATTTACCGAGTAAAGTTTATTGACTTAGTTTTCTTTCTATGGTCCACAAAGAACATCAAATCTATATAATTAATTGCATAGCTTTCAATGGAAATAAATAAAAAACAAACATGAAAACTCTGGTATCTGAAGAGACCTTTAACATGTTTTAAGTTTGGAGGATGGCTCTGTTTCAATCTTGGTTTCTCCATTCCTAGCTGTGGGCGTGAACTGAAAAAGGCTGGAAACAGTCATGCACGTCATATGTATTCTATCATTAAAAAAAAAAAAAAAACCTTTAAGACAACTTTAGTGTTGATGGCAAACACCTGAGCAAGCAAGACATCATATTCTGCATGGAGTTTCAAGTATCTGTTACGGGATTTCCAATTCCATTTGCTGGGGCCTCCTAAAGGCAATGCAGAAGCTATGACCAAATGGAACCATTCAGAGAAACGGCATTCAGAAACTCCCATCCCAGCCAAGCATGCTGACAAAAAGCCTGACATCATAGCACACGCAGAAGGCTGGAAGGTTATAGAGCTCTGGCAGGAGGATAAGGAGTTACTTAAAGGCTAGCCTGAGTGAAACCCCACCTCAAAATTAAAAACAAAACAAAACAAAACTCTCACTGTAGTTGTCTCAGATAGGTCAAGATATTAAGACTGTCACCAGCCAGGAAAAAGAATTAGAAGAATATTATAGCCTTGTTCAGGGGCAGAGCACTATCTGTTACCTCCAAACAGTCCCTGACAAGAGGAACAAAGAGGAGTATAGACCCAGGAAAGTTTTTACATCTACTCTACTTTGCTTTTTTTTAAAAGTTCATAAGAACACAGCATAAAACCCCACTATATTTAGCCTGAGTGAAACCAGCAGGCACTTGGGAAGAAAACCTCAGTATACATTCTGTTAGTTTGTCTTAGAAATTTTACTTCCTTTATCCAAGTACAAGAAGATCTGGTTCCATTTGAAAGCTATATGAAGCAGTTCAACCATTCCACAAGCTCTTGGGTAACAAAAGCTAATAGTTTCCATTCAGCATGTGACGTACTTGAAAAATGACAAAAAAAAGGACAGCAAGAAAATATCTCTGAAGTACAAGCACACTTTAGAAATATGCATATCATCAAATACCCTGCTTGGCTAAAGGACAAGCAACTATTTCAACTTGTCTTTAACCTGACTGGGGCAGGCAGCATAATGGAGAGAGGGTGGTTGGGATTACAAATGGTGGGGGGAGGCTCAGCCTCAACCCTTTGCATAAGAGTTTGGGTCAGAGGCACAAATCTGGTTCAACTCTGCACTAAAAAGTTGGTTTGGGGAAACAAATTGTGTGTCAGCAACTGAAAATTACAAATAATATGACTTAGTCAGGTCCAGAAGCCTCAACTATAGGACAGGATCAACACAGACAGCAAGAGATCCAATACTGGCCCCAGGATAGTGTTGCCTGAAGGAATCTGACAGTGACATCATTTCTGTTTTTCATCACCAGAAGAGTGGGCATAAAGAAGAAGATACACGGAAGAAATAGAAATCTGTTTCCAAGGTGAGCATCCACCCCCAGGAGTTCTCTTCCACTCACTCAAAGGTTTGGAAGATCAGCATCAAGCCTCCAAGTCCTATTTTCATTTAAAGTCAAATAATGTGACACATGACTATAACTCCCTGCTTTGGGAAGCAAGGGTGAGAGGAACACAAGTTCAATACCACCCTGAGGTACAGAGTGAGAGCTTGTCTCTAAAACACAACCAAATTACTCTGTTTTGAAAGCACATTAGCTTTTTATATAGTTTATATAAAAAATTTCCAGTTTCATAACTATGTCATAGGAACTTGCCTTCATGGCTATGCTATGTGAATGCCTCCACAAACACGCAAACAAACTACATGCAGATTTATGTAAGACACTCAGAGCATCTCTTTATGAGGACTGGACTCTGATCTAAGCTTTTCTTGTCATATAAGGAGCTGCCTGTCTTCTTGAAATGATTTCACACAGAAGCCACATACTTCACTCAGAAAATTTTTTTATTACTCGCCTTCTGCCCCACCCATTTTTAAGAAAGAACTGACTCAGTTCTTTGATGACAACATCGTGGGTGGGAGTGAATACAGGAGTGGGCAGGGTAGGAGGAAAAGAGGAGGAGGGGGGAAAAGAGGAGGAGGAGGAAAAGAAGGAGCCAAAAGCTGAATCACAGCCATGTGAGTAATCCTAGGGCTTTTTTTTCTTCCTAAGGATATAAATCAAATTAAGCTTGTTTTGCTGTGGGTGAAGGAAAGAATATAATAATATCATGAATCAGAGCAATTATCAGTTATGTGACACTCACTAAAAATTAACTACAATCATTGTTTTCTCCAAAGCTGTCCAGAAGATGAAAGAACATTTACTAATCAATACAATTCTTGACAAAAATCCCTCAAATTTGAACTCAATGATAACCATCTTCTTTAAAAAAAATAAAATAAATCCATCTA